TTCATCGCAATGGACGTGAGGACTTGAAGCAAATATCAGTCTATGTTACTATCGATCCCTGTCCGCTCTATCCTTTCATACAGACATATATCTAAACTAGTGACTCACCTCGCTCCGCTCGGGTTCGTCCCTACTTACGTTCTAACGTTTAGTATAGATTTTTTAGAGATGAGATATTTCCCGCAGTAAAAAGTATCCTATATGTTGACCTGGATAAGCAGCTATTATCATACCAAATTTCATCAAAATCCCTCCAGTAGTTTTTCCGTGATACGGTCATAGACAGACAAAAAATCTAAAAACTATAGATTTAGCATCTGTATCGATAATAATGTCTATTTCAATTAGATTTTCCAAAACGTTGTAAGTAGTTTCTATTATGTAGTAATGTACAAATTCGGCTTATTGACAATTTTATTATATGTATAGATACCTAAATTAGATATTCAGACTACTAAATCTCAAGTTATCCGATACGTGCGTTATCTATCTTACAATAACGATACTATATCAGAAGCCATCGCAGGCGTGTTTACAGCAACTCTTGGATACATGTTGTTTGCAATTTCATCGCTCGGATAAATAGTTATGATGCATACGTAATATGCTGACCCTATTGATATAGTAACTGTCTATTACTATTAACTGTATGACTAATAATATTTTTATTAGTCCGGCTATAGATTATTAAAAAAATAAAATTTTTCGAGTCAAAACTGTCCACAGCAAACCAAATCTTGAATAACATAAAGTTATTATTTTGGGTTTCTGGGTTTGAAATAAAAAAAAACCTAACGATAAGGCTAAGGATAGCCTTCTCAACCTTCGTTATCTAAGTCGGATCTGTCACATGATCGAAAATTAAAACCTAGAAATAAATACCTAATCTACTATCCAGATGCTCCAAATAAAAAATAAATAAAGTAGTTGGACAAATATATAATTATATATTAGTCGTACAGTAACTGGATTAAGTCACTTTCTACGTAATATGTCGACTTTAGTCAGTAATAAATTTAGTTTTTATAGACACTGTTTAAGATATAGTGTTACAAAAATACTAAAATGAAGTGCAAAGTCATCTAAGTATAGAAATAAAAAAAATCATAGCATAATTTTAAGGCAATATTTCATTGTTTCTGGAAGCTTGAAGCATGACGTGCATATAACGTTGATAAATTCACTAGCTAAGAATATGAAGTATTAAAAATGGTATGAATGCCTTTTTAACCGTAATAATAGCTGATAGATTAGAACTGTTAAACCAACTTAAAAGGAACATATTTTAATAATTATTTTATTAAATTAATAATATAATATGACATAATAATCTCAAGGGACAATTTTAATTTAGAAAAAATATACGGTATACAAGGCTATAATAAAATGATTTGGTAATTTTTCTTACGTAAATCGTACCACAACATCAAACTACAAAAGAATACTTATTTTTTACTTTGATTTATGAATATTTTATCTCATTTTCTAAATACTTACGTGTAAAGTCAAGTCTTAGAGATAATAAAATTTTCAAAATAATTCAGATTGTGAAGGTCCAGCCATAAAGCATATTTCACCCTCTACTGTAGGATAAGCTAAGGGCACAAGTCCTTCAACATAGAACCTCTTATCGCTTATGGATAACGACTTGAAAGTGAAGTAAAATAGTCATCAATAATATACGGATACTGAAATATGCATATTAAATACTTATTTAATATTCACGTTTCGTAATTTCTAATTTTCATAAATTAAACTCAATATAACCTAGATGCAAATACTTATCAAAATGTTGGGTTATCAAATGAGACTACCGGTTGTTTTCAACCATCTTAATTATTATTTCTATAAATTTTTCAAGAGATGGCAATAATTTAAGTTATATAATATGATCATACGATATAATAAGGTCATTGTTTATATAAATAAAATAAAATATTTTATTCATTAACAAAATATTTAAAAATTACAAACAAGGTATCGGAAATCGAAGGAAATCGCCTTTTAAGTGTAAAAAATACCTGTGACAGGCATTCTCGCTCTTTCATAACCACATCAAAAGTAACTTGTTATAGCAAATTACGTTCTACATTATTTATTAGTAAAATAGTGTGTGTATATCTACTAAGTTCCTATTCCATCCAGCCTTTTCAACATAAAGAGGTAACAAACATACATACAACCATTTCGCATTTATTACAGCAATCTTATTAAATTTTATACTATGTCTCACACATACCACTTCTTATTTTACTTTTCGAAGTCAGCTATGCTAAATACTTTGGATTTTAGAAGTTCCCCAACAAGAAAGAGATTAAAGACGTTCTGCATTTTGCATTGTTTGAGGTATCGTCGTTTCTGCAAAATTTTAGATAATAAATTTTCATACAAAATTTAATAAATAATAGCTTATCCTTAAATAAATTTCATAAGTAATTAAGTAAAACGATCAAGTTAGGACGATATTGTATTTTAAAATGTACTTGAATTCTTTATATAAGGTCATTTTAAATATTTTTCATTCCTTAGTTTTTGCTCAATCGTCGTATCAGTATTTATTTGTCCAAACGACCAAAATATCTTAAGAGTTTGTAATATTTATTGTATATTATTAATTACTGACTTTTTTTACTTTAAAAAGTGGAAAGATGTATTTTATCTATATATGATATGTACAATGTACATCTGTATGTATATAAATCTTGGAAATAAAACTTTGTTTTTAAAATAGAGAAAAAAACTCTACTGTAAAGTACAACAAGTATTGGTATTTGAACAAATAAGCACTAAGGCAACGCAATGCCAAGCATATTACCTAGTATGTTTGATGTGGGACTGCCCACATGCCGCTGGTCGCAGGTTCAATTTCAGTTTTAGTATATAACAGAGGACTGTAATAAACGTTATCAAGTAAAAAGAGACAAATACATAGATTAGCGATGTTCTTTATGTAACTCGACCGCTAAAGTTTTTGCCACGGATTTATTTCTATCTATTAGGGATTTCCTCGTCAGACTTATTGGTGAACATTGGATTCAGAGTAAAAGCTTTTCACGTATCAAAATAATAATAAATTATTTGTTGATCTACGTCCTTGAATATTTATCTTGAACCTCTCATCGAATTAACAATTAGTAATAACTACTAATATCAAATATTTTGAATCACAGATAATTTACTTCTATTTATTCAGGAATCCTATTAATTATTTTCTAATCGCATTATCAAACTATCAATATATTCATAAGAAAACAATGAGAATTAGTTTACATGTCATGTCAAATCAAACATAATTCACGCAAAACTGACCTCGAACTGTCGGATTAATGGGGAAGAATTTTGCTATTCTTTTTGGCATGTCATACCAAAAAGAATGAAGAAGAATAGTTGCTTGATACAAAACCTTTTTTTAACTCGGTTCAATTTTAAAACAATAAAACAAATCTTTACATCATGAACGAATAAACCACTGGACGAGACATAAAATACAAATGTATGAAAACTCGTTCAACCAAAAGACGCATAACGCACACAAAGATTTTATTACATTATTATACACACAGGTACACAATACAATATTTCTAGTGCTTGAACGTAATCGATAAAATACATATATCGATGAACGAATGAATGACATTTTAGACATTGGTTAGCATAGTCATCATAATTTTACATCTTTTAATTTAAAATATCTGTTTTTATTATAATAAATTAATATAAATGAATTAAAGAGGCAGTAATAATGTGTTAAATAATAATTATTTATTAATTTGGTTTATATAAATACGATGGCATTGATGGCAACATTCTGTTGGCCTATAATAATGTTAATGAACAAATGAATATCGGGTGTATGTTCCATTAATATATAATAAATATTATTTTGTATAGATAATAATTATAAACTTATTTAAAAAAATATTAAGCTAATTTAATTAAATAAAGTGTTTTTGTTGATTCTGTTATTTAACTATGTTAGTTAATTGATTGTCTCGGGTAGTTTATAAAAATGTGACACTGTCCTAATATTGCTCAGTTCTTAATCTACATTTGTGAAATTAGGAAAAAGAAAAAGTGATTTCAAATTGTGAAAAAGTGAGTGTTGGATGGTGAACGTTAAATAATTAGTGCAAGTGGTAAAGTGTTTTATTACAAATCGCTTAAACCCAGAAGTTTATTGCTAGCACATTATTGTTTGATTTTGCGCCGACAATCAAATCCAGAACCTTCGAATGGGAAAGAAAAGGCGTATCATAAATAAGCTGTAAGACAAAGGAAATAAAGGGAGAATGAAGGTGAGGTAAGCTTCCGGTATTTATATTTTAATTAAACTAAAATAAGTAGGACATTGTTATGATTTTTTTAGTCAATTATAGAAGTTTAAATTATGTAAATAGGTTTCATGATCAGCCCTTTTTAACGTCCCACTGCTGGGCACGGGCATCCCTCAGTACGAGGAAGATCAGGCTATAGTCCACCGCGCTGGCCTAGTGCGTTTTGGCGGATTTCACATGCCTTTCGAGAACTTGCTAGATTTTTCTCATACATGCAGGTTTCCTCACGATGTTTTCCTTCACCGTAAAATAAGTGGTAATCATGATAGAAATGATTCACACATGAAACTATCAAAGGTGCGAGACCGGATTTGACCCGCATCACTCGGTTACACTGGGCTAACACTGCAATAAGTCAGTCAGTAAATAGGTTTACTGACTTTTTCTTAGATTTACGCGAATATTTGACATTTTAAATAGTTTTATCTTTTCGGATTTTTTCGCGGATTTATTTGGATTTTTGGTTCCCGTCGTTTCGACGATCAAAATGACAGCATATCAGATTATTTGTGGGTAGGCTGTCTGTAACAACTATACCTTCGAGACATCTAACACCTCAGTCTCTCCCGTGACCATGAATGCTGTAAAGCATTCGAAACGTCGAACCAAAAATCCAAATAAATGCGCGAACAAATCCGAAAAGATAAGTTTTATTTAAAAGGTTTACTGACTTTTATTATGTATCATCTTTTTTAAAATGTGTTTCTTAGAATTTGTTTCGTTCGCTTGTTTTCTTAGATAAGCAAATCTAATATTTAAATACTTTTCAGCAACGGCTTTCGTTAATTCTTCGACGTGATTCACGTCGTCGTTTTCAAATTTATGAAAATGAATGTCTTCATACAATGGAAGTTGCAGCAATGTTTCTGTTACTTTCGGCAGGAGAAAATCTGTTGTGTATTCTTTTTTTAGTCTTTTATTCTGAACACCCTTCCTAAGTTCAAGTTCACAGTGCTGACAAATAGATATGGTATCACTTGAGGGATATATCAGTTTTCCCTTGTCTTTATAGGCAATGAGACTGCCTTCAGTGGTCTCATTTTGAGGGAGGAGAGCAGACGTGCAAGTTTCACATTTTACCGATTTCAAAAGTTTGTGAACCACAAACCCAGCAATATATTCAACCACTTTTTGCCCGTAAGGCGAAAGAGTAGTAACATGAGGCAGTTCATCATCATCAGCTGGTGTTAAATGCAAAGTTTGGTTGTCGCTGTTACTTCTCGCCGTTGTCATATTTATTCTCTCAACAGGTGATTTAGATGAGCAGTTCAGTATTGTGATGGATTCCAACGGTACGCAGTTCCCTGAATCCACATCAATAAGTTCTGAGTGAACTAGCATTCTCTTGTATATTGATTCAAATAGCTTGATAGTTGGGTTATCATTGCATCTTCCATGACTGCGTATATTACCAAAAAATATCTCAATGTGATCTTGAGATATTTTATGGAAAGGCAAATACGACATGTGATTTTCCTTTTTTATTAGGTCTTCAAATAGTCCCTTGGCACTTTCAGCACACATGCAAAACCCAAGAAAACCAGTAAATCGAAGCGTTTTCATAATATTCATCTCATTATGTTTTAATGTTTTTAAATATTTAGATGTTTCTTCCAGGACTTTAAAGGCCGCTTCATGATTTTCAGAATTCATTGCTCGTTTGAATCCATACTGATGAACTCTGGAATCAAGTATATCAAACAAGATATTCATTTTCTTCAAAAACTCTGCCGTAGCTTTAGCACCACAAAAGTTTCGAATTCGAAGCTCCGTGTCACAGAATAACAATGCATCAGCTACACTGTCGCTAAAAAGCTGAGATGCCAGACGAACATTCATGATTTTTGTTTTGAAGTAAATGTGATTGGCTCGCAATTTGTTAGCCAAATGAAATAGTTCACTATCTTGTAAATTGTGTAATTCCTCTAAATATTTCCAATTGATTTCTCTGCCTTCAGAATCTTCAAAATTTCCGTATGCTTGGAAAGTGTTTCTAACATTTTTTAGCATGTGGCATGGGTCTAGAAAGACATATATATTATTTCCATTTACGGGATTTTTGAAAAAGGGTTTTAGATTTGAGATGTCTAAGCAGCATCCCAATTTCTTGGCTGTAGCTAAATTTGACTTATGGCCGTCAAATGTAAGAGTTTTTATTTTCACACCGCTTGCGTGCACTAACTCTACTGCTATTAATATAAGTTTCGATTTTTGTTCAGCATTTGTCCCTGCTGTGGCAAAATAAGCTATCGGGACCTTCCAGGATTCATTTAGTGCTACTAACAAAAACACCAATACTTTCGAGGCCATTTTCTCACAATCAGTTTCGACATTGAATCCAAAATCTACGTATCCAAATGTTCGTCCAGAATTTATATGATAATCTTCACTCTCCATGATTTTCATCTCGTCAATTATTAGTGCTGCATAGACCTTTTTGTAACCCACTCTTTCTTTTATTGCTTTTAACGCTTCACTTGTGAAACCTGGTCTTCCATCTATGGTACTATACCATCTTGTTAACGTGCGTGGTGCAGGTAAACAAGTATCAAATGTTTTGCGGACATATTTATACGCTCTGGCTGAATAAAAATGCAATGTCAAGGCAAAAGATTTCAATTCTGGAGTGTATGAACGCGGAACGGAACCAGTTTCTTTTTTCTGCTTCATTCTTTTCAGTAAATCCTTTGTTTTTCCTCCAAGTTTTTCCAATACGACACTATCGTCTTCTGTTATAAGATTTTTTTCCGTCAAACTATTCAGTATTTCTTCTAATGTAGTCACTCTTTTCATTAAACAGCGATTACTGTATTGTAGTCGTTTAATTTTTTTAGATAGTTCATGTATCTTTTTTTTCAGTCTAAGCTTCCTTGGTGAGTCTAATACTTGAACTTGATTAGACTTTGTTTTCTGCACCAACTGCACCTATACGTTAAAATCTAGAGTTAGCAATGTATTAAATTTGAACAATTACATACATATATGTAATTTGGGATATAGACATTTTTAGCATAGTGTTAAAAACCAGTTAATACAATTTTAGTAACAAAAAGTAGTGTAAAAATTTTATAATAAAATTATACCTATTTTGAACTTACATATTCTTGTAACGGGTTTAAACTTTCAGCTAGTACTACCACGTCTTGATTGATTTGAACACTTTCTATTGAATGCTTGTTATTTACTTCATGTGACTAAAAACAAGAGATTTTACTTTATATTAGCAGATAATTCACAGGTCAAACCCTAAACCAGCTTCAATTATAAAATTGATATAGCTTATTTGATTAGCCAATTGTGAAATGTGATGAAAAGTGGTTTCTTTACGATTGCCGTAAGCGAAAAATGCAATAGATGACCCTAGGTCAAACGCCGCAACAGTGTCCTAAAGCAAAGCTTAGCAATAAAAAGGTACTGGTAACTGTTTGGTGGTCTCAGCATGGTGTTATTTACTATACCTCTCTCCGATCTGGTCAAGCAATAACGGCAAATATCTACTGTACTGAACTCCGAACAATGATAGCAAAACTAGTTGTGAAACAGCCCCGACTCATGAATCGATCTTCATCATTATCGCTCCATGATAACGTGAGACCTCATACAGCACAAGAAACTGTTTTAACTCTACAGGAACTGCAATTAGAAACCATTCGTCATCCTCCGTATTCCCCAGACCTTGCTCGAGCGGACTACAATTTTTTTCGTGATTTGGACAATTTTCTACGTGATAAAAAGTTTTCTTCTCAGCAGGCAATACAAAATGCTTTCACACAGTTTGTCGAATCTAGATTACCAGAGTTCTATTGCAAAGGCATAAAAGACCTTCCTATTAGATGGCAGCAATGTATAGATAATAATGGTAATTATTTTGATTAAATAAGTATGTTAATTTAAAAAAAAAAACGAATTTCAATTTTTCAGTACAAATCGGCAATTTCATACTTTAACCCCTATGATTAAAGTAAGTCATCTTAATAAACTCACATATATAGGTAAAAACAATGTTGGAACAGCATCTTTTTCGAGCTTTTTCTGCTTCTTTGCATTGTTATTAAAACAGGCAGTTTCGAAATGTACACTGCATATTGCGCTGTGTTTCGTTGGAATCCAGGTGTCATCTCTACGAACTGCTTCTACCCACTTTCTCTTTCGAGAAGGGTCCCTAGGAAATCTAAAATTTTGTGTAATTTATGTGTTGAAATAAAATAATCTTTATTATTATTAGAATGGAATAATATTCCAAAGTATATAATTGTGGTATAAAATAAAATAAAAAATTAAGTAAGTACACATACTAATTATAATTTATGCATTTATATTTTTATTTGATTTAAAAAATATTTTTATAAATATATTGTCATCAGATTGTAGGATACTGTGTAAAAGTATTTTATGTTATTGTACTATACAAATAACATCATTCGTTCAGTCATTTCGTCAAATATCGATATATTTTTCGACATTGTCAAGCACTAGTCGATGTCAAATGGACTCACTCGACAGTTTAGTCATTTGTTCTGAATGGTATAATCCAGGGATTTTATGATGGTTGTCAGATGTCAACAATACATAGAAATATCGACTATATTTAACATAGTTGGATAATATGACATTTTATTTTACAATTTTATTAAATTGTGTGATAAATAACAATAAATGTAATAAAATAATGTATTTACAAGTGAAAAGAAACAGTGCTGCTTCCGCCGCTATAGTTTTTACACCATTTAACAGAACATTTAGTCATTTTTGGCAGATTGTTTGTTGACAAGTAAATGCTTGAGACTGACGCAAAAAACAAACGACAAAGGCTGATATTTCCTGGCTACTAATAAGACAGATAAAGGTACGTCCGCTTATATGTCTGGTCCAGTGACTTATTCGTTCATGCTTTACATATATTATTGGGAGTCTTTATTAACACTATAGTACCCAAAATAATGATTTTTAGATTTTTTGTCTGTTTGTCGGTTTTTTTGTCTGTGCGTTTTTGCGCGCTAATCACAGAAACGGCTTGACCGATTTCGGTGCGGTTTTCATTAATGTATTGTGGTAAGCTTCAATTTTATTTAGTATTTGTTTTATTTCAATAGGTTCTTAAATAAAAAAATGTGTCAATTTCACTTCATCCTATCACACTTCATAATATCTACTGTAATATAAAAAGAACGTCCTGTTATAAAATATTTATCACACTGAATGAATTATTCTATTATACGAGGATATAAATCATATTTGAATGTATTTTAGAGCTTAGAGCTTACGGTTTTTGAATTATACTGGTATTGTACGGCTTCGTTTTTTATTAATTAAGTTTAAGCAAGTTCTCATTTTCCTCGCAGCTTTACATGTAGGTATGTCTTTTAATATTTTTATCTATGTATTTTAAAATTAGTGAGTTTTTGGTAACTTTTTCAATATACATTATAAGTAAGTATAAGGGATTCGTTACGGGTGCATACTGATATTAATAGACTCAAAACATTGGCTTTCCAAGAATCTAAATTATCTATCTGTACTTTTTGTGTAAAATTCCTATCTCTAGAAGGAATCTAGAAAAATCTCTACAAAACCGCATTATGTCGCTCTTATGCGGTCAATAAATTATAAAAAATCATATCGATCCACTAAATATCTAAGAATATTATAACATTAGTAAGAACGTAATTCTTATAATATTTATTATTTAATCTATACATTTAATAAAATTGTAACTAATTGTAAGTTAAATCTATACATTAATTTTTTTTTGGAAATCTTATTAAAATATTCATTATTATCGATATAGAGACCGAATCTATAGTTTTTAGAATTTTTGTCTGTGGGTCTGAGATGCCGTCACTAGAAAACCACAGGATACATTTTGATGAAATTTTGTATGATGGTAGCTGGTTTTCCGGGTTACTTTTTACTGCGGAAAATATCTCTTTTCTGAGAAATCTATACTGACCGTTAAAATGTATCTAGGAACAAACCCGAGTCGCTAGTGCAATGTATATTTTTAATTCCATTTTTTAATTTTACGATTCTATTCTAACTCTGCCTTACCTTTATTATCTTTGTAGTGTCAATTTAGTAGTTGTTACGGTGGCTTCACCTTTTTTTTTATCATTTTGTTCAGGTGAACAAAAAGTTTAATTAATTTCCGTCTGGACGTTGACACAGACCTTTAGCTTTGGGATAGTTTTAGGTGTCGTAAAATTGTGTACTGCACTATCTCGTAAAATTGTATATTGTGAGTTTGTAACGTGTCTCACTGCTAGCATCAAAATGGCATGTATTATTTTCTTAAACTTTAATAAAGGAGTGCGATGTTTTTTATAATTTAAATGTAGAAAATAACATCTGTGGCTACTGAATGGTATACAATGTTTTTTTACTACAACAAAGCTACATTATACCTGAGTAACATAACATAATTGGTTATTTTACAGACTCTACCTAACAGATAATGATATATTGTAAATAAATAAATATAAATATGTTGGGACATTAACACAGCACCATCTAGTTCCATGGTAAGCTACAAGTCTTATGTTATGGATACCAGATAGCTGATATACTACATATATATAAATTTAAATACATACGTCATACATATAACATTGATCAGTGAGATGGACGAAAATAATCGACTTTTTCCGCCAAATCTTCAAGCTGAATTTGCAATGGGCGAAGCACATCGCACGTAGAATTGACGGTCGATTAGTCCACGTAAGAACGTAGAAAGAATATTGAGAGTTCTCGAGTAACGACCACGTACTGATAACCGAAGGATGTTTGAGAATAAACTAGTCAATATGGGGGTTGACCTTACTTGGTGGGTTCACTTTGCTTATTACTAGCGACTCACCCTCGCTTGATTTTCCATACAAATTTTCATTCCTATTTTCACTCCCTTAAGGGATGATTTCCGGGATAAATAGTATTCTATGCCCTTCCCAGGGTCTCAAACTATCTTTTTAACAAATTTCATCTAAATCAGTTCAGTAGATCCAGAGATTACCCCCTACAACATCACAAACTTACAAACTCACAATCTCACAAACTCACAAACTTTACCTCTTTATAATATTAGTATAGATAAAATTTAATACCTACTTGAATTCTGCCTTGGTTAGAAAGGATAAGCAGATGCCACACTCGAGGCTATCAACTATTTTCATACAGAAAATTATGTCAGTCGAAATTCCTTATGTTAATTTTATTATATTGAGCTTTTGTCGAGGCTTCCCAAAAGATGCGCCGACAGACCATCCAGTAAGTTGCAGGAACCCACTGAATATAGAGTGCACTAGACTTGTTGTCATGAAAGTCTTTTGAGGAGGCCTATGTTCAACAGTGGACTATGGCCAGAATCTTTAGTCTAAAACGATGATGAAAACATCCCACGGGAATTGATATTTTGATGAACCGGTATAAATAGTAGGTACTATTTATCACTTTCCGGCCAATAAATAATCTTTAAGCAAAACATTATGTCGATAATCAGATCAATTTGATTCTGTAGCCACAAGAATGATTTTATTATGATAAAATATTTTAGTATTTTACACACATTTATTTTTATTTTATATTCCATCGATACGTAAGCCGTGATAGATACACAAAAAATGGATCTAAAAATGAATCATTCGTTTCCTATGTCCTCATATATCACTGGCTGAGTGTTGAACAATAAAATCTAGCTCAGGCGTACATAGAATAAAACTTTTTGAATCATCACGGTCCATAACGAAATAGAAAAGTTTTAACAATATTTGATTTTAAAAAAGAGTAGTTGCTCAACTTGGTTGTATGTTTTTATGTATGTTACATACATGTAGGGTTTTTATTATAATATTAAATTTAATAAAAATCCGGAATTTTTATTATCTATAATAATATTATAAAGAGGTAAAGTTTGTGAGTTTGTGATGTTGTAGGGGGTAATCTCTTGATCTACAGAATCGATTTAGATAAAATTTGGTAAGAACATAGGTTGAAGCCCTGGAACGGACATAGGATACTTTTTATCCCGGAAATCATCCATTAAGGGGGTGAAAATGGAGATGAAAGATTGTATGGGGAATCAAGCTAGGGACGAACCCGAGCGAAGCGAGGGTGAGTCGCTAGTATATAATAATTAAATAAAAAAATATTATATTAAAACTAGAGAAAACAATGTCTACGCGTATCGTCGTGCCGTCATTATCAAAACATCCTTCTTTTCTTTTCTTAAAATTATACTCGTATCATACGTCTTTTTTTAATTTCTTCTTAAAATATCATTTCACGCATACTCACCTTGCAATTCCCACATATATGATATACATATCTTTGCCAATTGTAAATGGATGGTTGTTTTCGTTTTAATGAATAAGTTTTGCCTAAAAAATGCTTACATAAATATATTATTACTAGCGACTCACCCTCTCTGCGGTCGGGTTCGTCCGTAGGCATGTTTTAACGGCTAGCATAAATTTCTCAGAAATGAGATATTTTCCTGCAGTAAAAAGTATCCTTATATTGACCCGGATAAGCTATCATCATACCAAATTTCATCAAAGTCCGTCCAGTAATTTTCTTGTCATGCGTTCCCATACAGACAAACAGACAAAAATTCTAAAAACTATAGATTCGGCCTCTGTATGGACAATCATTTCTATTTCAATAAGATTTTCCACAAAAATATTTAATGTACCGATTCGGCTCAGAATTTTATAATATGTATAGATTATTATTATGATTGACATTGGATGGAATAATTACTTTTATTGTAATTTTAAAGTTGGGGTACTATTAATTGAGGAAAAAGGATTAATGAAAATAAATTGATGGAGTAAAAAATAATGTTTATTAGAGTTCTTTCTAAACGATTTTTCTATATTTTTTGCATATTATTTATTCTCATCGTTCTTAGTCAAACTTAGATAGATATAATATTCTCACTCATCCATAGTAATATTATAAATGTGAAAGTGTGTTTGTTTGTTTGTTTGTTTGTTTGTTTGTTTGTTTGTTTGTTTGTTTGTTTGTTTGTTTCTTTGTTTGTCCTTCTTTCACGTCAAAACCGAAAGACGGATTGGCGTGAATTTTTGTGTGAAGATAGTTGGAGGGCTGGAGAGTGACATAGACTACTTTTTACCGCGGGAGATTATTTAATTCCCACGGGAAAAAACATTAGAATACAATCCAAAAAAAATATTTATAGTCAGAATTACTTGAAACTTGGTATTAATGCTCTTCAATAAAATTAAATAAATACGTGTTTAAGCATTTTTCGAAATTCATTCTATAAGTGGGTAAAATAGGGGATGAAAGTTTGTATGAAACTATCTATTTAGATATTTTTTGTAGTTTTAGCGCGAGCAAAGCCGCGGGTTCTGCTAGTAACATATAAATCAATATTTACCTTACCCAAGACCGCATATATATATATATATATATATATATATATATATATATATATATCTTAACTCAAAAGACATGACAGAAAACCGGGTCTAGTGCATACACCACCTAACCATCGTTTGCTGAATACATAAAAAAATATGTCGATAATATTTTTCATGGGTAAAGTTTCAAAAATATTTTGCCGTGTTATTTGATTGAATTAATATTATGTGATAGGTATGACTAACTTCAACTTTTATAAAAACCACACTAATATTTTATAGGCACACCTAAATGCCAAATAACAATGAATTGAATTGGAATGAATAGAATTGAATTGAATATTTTACAGTGAGTGATTTTTTTTTAAATTTTAAAACAGCATAAGTTTAATTGAATAATAGTTAATGCAATATATATGAAATAAATATATGAAAATAGATAATAATTAATTCGAGGAACTTTTATTTTTAACGAACACCTTTTATTTTTATTTTCTACAATTCTTTTAAAATCAGTTTAGTTGTTTTATTACTTAGGCAAATACATATATTATATATTCTTTCATACAACGAATATATATATAAATAAAAATAAATTCATATGTTTGTCCTATTTGCGTTCCTAAACCATTGATCCAATTGTGATGAAACTCTGGCGAATTATCCTGTATACGCCTGCCAAGGATCTTGGTATAAAAAAAAGGAATTTTTTTCGTTCTAAAACCCAAGCAAAGCGAGGGTAAGTCGCTAGTCTATACATATAATAAAATTGTAATCAAGCCGAATCTGTACATTAAATATTTTTTGGAAAATCTTATTGAAATAGACATTATTATCGATACAGAGGCCGAATCTATAGTTTTTAGATTTTTTGTCTGTCTGTTACCGCATCACAGAAAAACCACAAGACGGATTTTGATGAAATTTGGTATGATGATAGCTGGTTATCCGGGTCAACTTATAGGATACTTTTTACTACGAGAAAATATCTCACCTCTAAAAAATCTTTACTAAACATTAAAACCTAAGTAGGAACGAACCCGAGAGGGGCGAGGGTGAGTCGTTTTATATAATTTGCTAAACATCAAACTTTATTTTTTACTGTTTTAGTTACATTATAACGATATTTGGTGTATTTTTACTTTGAAAAGTAGTACACGTTTTATTTAATGCATTATTGCCTCGTCGCTAATTCATTGCATATGTGGACATAAAACTAAAGACCTCTGAGGATTCAGACAAAAAGTTTCTTTTATACATGTTTACAAGTCATCGACTCCACGCCTAACCGTTCAATTATGTATAATGGGTCGACTCTGGTTTCGAGACATAGAATATGAAGTATAAGCAAAAGGGCATTAAATAAAGTAAAACTAAAAGGGCTTTGTCACTTATTTTATTTATTTTTTAATCTATTTTTTAGTTTTACTGTCCTCGGTTGCCCTAAAACACAAACTCATATATTTTTATTTTTGTCTAGCGACTCACTCTAGCTTCGCTCGGATTCATCTTACGTTACGTTTACCTAGTTACGTTTTAACGATTAGTATAGATTTCTCAAAGATGATATCTTTTCCCGCAATAAAAAGTATCCATTATGTTGACTTGGATAACTAGCTATCATCAGACCACATTTTATCAAAATTCATCCAGTGCTTTTCTCGCGATGCGTTTCCAGACAGACAGACAAATTTTAAAAACTATAGATTTTGGACTCTGTATCGATAATAATAACTATTTCAATAAGATTCTGCACAAAATATTTATTGTATAGATTCAACTCAATTACAATTTTATTATATGCATAGATATAATCGTGCATATATGTATGTATATATATTGTATTATTTTAACAATCAAACATTCAAAGCCTAAGTAGATATGTATATTGTATATGTACCTATATACATGTAATATGCTGACAAAATCATGTTATGGAATGACAAAGCTGGTCCGAAGTCAAAGCTTAATTGTGCAAAATTAGTTTTATAAATAAAAAGTTGTGTTTTAAATATCTATTTACGTTTATATAACTTAAATTATATTTTTTATTTATATTATCATTGTATTAAGTTCTTAAGTCGTAATGAGTTCAAACATGTACATAATATGTACATTGTACATATACATACTACATACATACATACTCGTATATGAAACATCAAATATTTTTAAGGAAAATTTTATGGGATAAGTTATTTTACAGGAAGGCTTGCCTTTATGACTACTAAATAAATAAAACAAAAAGAATTCAATACAAAAATAAAACTCAATCACTTTTAAAAAAATATTTAAACTAAATGGATTTTCTGCGTAAAGTATATATTCTTAGGATTTTCGACTGATACAAATATCGGCTTAATATAGCGATTGTGCGTAAACTATGGCGGTCGTTAGGCGGATACGAGCAGAGAGTAGAGCTTCTTTGTCACTAATATGCCTGAAGGGATTGTTGGGAAGGCTTGATTTTGACTTTCAATAAAGATCGCTTACATATAAGTTAACTTATTGGGGTTAAGAGAGTAAGTATTGAAAATCATACCAAATTCCAATTGGATGTTATTAAATATATGTAATTTTCCAGTATATATACATATTTATTATTTACATAATATAATGTTTTTTTTAATAATGGACTTTGTGTGTTAAACACAAGATTTAAAACTAGTATTTAGCATTGATTCCCAATACAAACTTTGATTTGATGATTTCCGGGATAAAAAGTATCCTATATCCCAGAGTCTCAAACTATCTTCTTACCAAATTTCATCTAAATCGGTTTAGAAGATCCAGAGATTACCCCTACAACGTCACAAACTCACAATCTCACAAACTTTACTTATTTATAATATTGGTATAGATAATGAACGTTTTATTACTTTATTTCTCAGTAGTGACTTACCTTCCCTTTCCCTAGCAGTTTAGATATATTTAAGGGTGTTCAATTTTCGCACTGGATACCTATATATTTCCGAAAACATCCTATAAGTACAACCAACACCTCTATCTTTCAATAAAAGTTCATTTATTATATGTTAAGCCATTCCAAAGATTAGCTTGGACAAACAGAAAGACAGATAGAAAAAAAGGGTTAGTCAGGTACCTGTATCGTATAAATAACTCTATGTACTTACTACTAAACACAGTTATTTTAAAATTATAGACACACAATTTTATTCTATCTATCTATAGATTATTGAATGAAGCGCATTAAATATTTTAGTAGTGATGCTATATATATATATATATATATATATATATATATATATATATATATATATATATATATATATGTCGAATACGGGAAATGAATACGGATCGTCAACGACACACAAACGTCATACTGGCGTGTACAGAGCCTAGGCGGGTGGGGAAAAATTAATAAAAAGTTGTGATCAAATTAAAATTGAGTAGTTCATTTTGTTTGCTCACTTGGTAAAAGTCAGTGTTAAGCCTAGGAACTGTGCTGTGTATCGTGTGGGTTATATTGTGTGTGTTTCGGACGACCAGAACCAGGGTATGTCTAGTACCCGGAGGTCGACCTGGGACAATCTCCCAGACGTTCTTGGCGTACACGGCAGTATGTCCGTTCGCTGGTAATGTACGCCACCACGCACCCCTGAATGCGTAGCTTGGGTCCCGATCCACTAGGGTTTCTTCGTTGACAGGAGACTATACTTAGAGGCGATGAAATAAAACACAATTTTTCCTTTTTTCTCTCTTGGTTTCGGTTCTTCCTTTTCCTTTTAGTTGTTGCCTCTTCGGTGGCTGTCTTGCGACTGACTCGAATCGAGAAATGGCTCGCCTTTTATTTGGCCCGTTAATACCTTACAGAGAGCCGCGTACTTTGAGCTCGTTTTTCGAATAAAATTTCCCTAAACCGAAACCTTGAGAGTCCTTTTATTTTATGTTTTCAGTAAAACACCTTACACATATTTATTTATTTACATGCCTTACATACTATTATACAATATTAAAACATAATATTCAATATATAATAATTAATTAAAAAAGTCTTAAAACAAAAATATCTAAATTTCTAGGTTGCTACATTTTTACTATACATTTTCCCTTATAACTTTTGAACGGATAGTCCTATCGACCTAATTCTTGTTTTATTATAAGTTTTATAATAAAATCTATTATTTAAAACATAAACTATTATGCTATTGCAAGAAACAAAAAATCTCATTTTCAAGTTACGTAATTATATGCTAACATTTTACTTACGTACCTATTCCTTTCAAATTAATGTTAAATAGTCTTATATGATTCAAATAAGCAAAAAATACTCTAAACTAACCTTATTACACTAATTAGAACTTATTTTAACATAATAAATCTAATAAGAATGAGATTTCATATTTACAACAATTATTCATAATACGCTAAAATGACATTGTCCCTATATTAATACACACGTTACTCGAAGATAAGTTTTCCGTCGCCGACATTCTCCCCCTCGTGCTTTGCACCAACTCCTGGACTCGGCGACGCTCCCGGCACCAACAGCACCACTCTCGAACTGGGCCTCCGTAGAACACCTCCTCTGGTCTCGACGTCGACGACTCTGGTCCGCCCGTCTGGTCCAGGATACACATGCAGGATTCTTCCGCGTGGCCAGATGCATCTTGGTAGGCTGTGATCGACGATCAGTACGATGTCTCCGACTTGCAAATCTGTGGCGCTGACTCTTCCTTTGGTCTTCCTTGGTAGTAGAGTGGGCAAATACTCTCTCAGCCAACGTTGCCAGAAGTGATCGGCAAGTCGCTGCGTAGCCTTCCAGGTGTGTCTGCCCACAAGCTCGTTGTCCTCGAAGCTGCCGATTCTTGCTGCGCCACATGATCGCCCGATGAGAAAGTGGTTCGGTGTAAGTGCTTCTTCTTCAGGGTTCTCGGAGAGGTGGGTGAGGGGCCGAGAGTTGACTATGTGCTCGGCCTCTAACAGGAGGGTATGAAGTACCTCCTCTCGTGGTTGCCTTTCGTTGAGCGTGGCGTCCAGTGCGGTTTTAATGGATCGCACCAGACGCTCCCATGCACCTCCCATGTTTGGTGCACCAGGAGGTATGAACTTCCACTGCACACCGATCTTCTCCGCTTCCGAGATAAGGTCTTCTTGCTTCATGGTGTCTAGTGCTTCTTTGAGTTCTTTGTTGGCGCCAACGAAGTTAGTGCCATTGTCGGTGTAGATTATCTTTGGCATTCCCCTTCTCGCGGCGAATCGTCGTAGTGCCATGATCATGCTGTCAGTGGAGAGTGAAGGAGTGAGCTCAATGTGTACAGCTCGTGTTGTTAAGCATGTGAATAGAGCACCCCATCTCTTCTCATGGCGTCTTGCTACGGTGATCGTCATAGGGCCGAAGTAATCTATTCCCGTGCACGTAAATGGAGGGTTTCCGTGCATCAGCCTCTCAGCAGGTAAGTTGCCCACTGGTAGTTCTTGAGGTCTTGCCTTTCTTGTTTTGCACCACTGGCATTGATGTTGAATGGTCTTGATCGCTGACCTCAGTCCTAGCACCCAGAAGCGTTGTCTTACTTCGTTCATTACGGTCGCGTGATTCCCGTGATTGAAGCGGCAGTGAAATTCTTCTATGATGAGAAGTGTTGTCTTGTCCTTGCTGTCGAGTACGATGGGTCGTTTGTAGTCTCTGGTAACCCCTCGTATCGCGTCGATTCTTCCTTTCAGTCGCAGGAGACCTTCTTCTAGCACTACGTCGAGCCTTTTCAACTTGCTGCTGCCCTCTAATTGTTTTCCTTGCTGTAGGCACCTGATGTCCTCTTTGAAGCATTTCTCTTGACTTCTTCTTAACAACAGCGTTTCAGCTTGCTCTAGTAGACTTGTTTCCAATGGTATGTATTTCCTTTCTGACGTTTTTGAAGACAGATGTCGCTTCTCAACAATTTTCTTATTCCTTTTTGTAGTTTTCCAGGTAGGATCTTCTTTGCTGGCGTGGACCTTTTCCTTTCTTCTGCAGAGTTGTATGAACTGCAGTACTCTTGCTGTAGCTCGCCAAAGTCTTTTCCACGACGAGAACTTTTCGGGATCTGGTGATGGATAGGAGCTGCCTGCAGTCGCTACGATGTCCGCTGCCTTTTCTTCGCCAGTGGTTTCTTTCTTGAATGTTCTTGCCGCAGGCCAGTGAACTTCATCTCTTCTTAGAAACCCTGGTCCGGTGTACCATCGGTGTTGGCAGTCGAAGTGTTCTGGTACGTCACGTGTTGCATCATCTGCAGGGTTCTGCGCCGTCGGTACCCATCTCCAGTCCTGTGGTTTTGTGAGATCTTCTATCTCCGCCAAGCGATGAGCCACGAATGTCTTGAAGGTTCTCGGGTCCGTCTTGATCCATGATAGCACGATACTGGAGTCTGTCCAAAACGTCTTCTTTTCTATTTTCAGATCCATTTCTTCCTCGACCGAGTGTGCCAATCTGCTTCCTAGGAGGGCCGCTTGCAGCTCGAGTCTCGGGATTGACACCGGCTTCAACGGAGCGACTCTTACTTTTGCTGCTACTAAGCTGACGTCATAAGTCCCATTTTGATTTTCAGTTCTCCAATATACCGTAGCTGCATACGCCATTTCGCTTGCATCCGTGAACGTGTGCAGCTCCCCCTCGGTGCGACGTGGTGCCAGACATCTCGGGATCTGAAGGTCTTGGAGCAGCTTCATCTTCTCCAGGTAAGTCTTCCATGACTCGTACTCCTTTTCTTCTATCTCTTCATCCCAACCGACGCCACTTCGCCATATGTTCTGGAGCAGCCTTTTGCCTTGGATGAGAATTGGTGATGCTAGCCCTAGTGGATCGAAGGTCGACATCACGGCGCTGGTGACTTCTCTCTTCGTAGGTACCTTGAGTCCTTGTGCCACTTCATCTGGCGTGTTCCGAAGGTTCGCCCTAAAGCCTATGGAGTCCCTTTCTGTAAACCAGCGTAGTCCCAGTGTCTTCTCTTCCTTCTCACCAAGGTCCACCTCTGTCTTCTCAACTGACTCAGTCTTCACGTCTTGCAGCAGGTCGGAGTGGTTTGACGCCCATCCTCGGAGTTCGAAGCCCGCCTTTTTGTGAATGAAGTCCACCTGCGCTGTAATTCTCTTGAAGTCCTCTTCTGAATGGAAGCTGTGCAGGTAGTCATCCATGTAATGGTTCAGCTCGATTGCCTTTGCTGCCTCTGGGTACTGCTTCTTGTAGTCCGCCGCGTTCCGGTTCTTCACGTAGATCGCTGTGCTAGGAGATGATGTCGCGCCGAAGATGACTGATGTCATTCTATACTCCTTCGGTGCTACGTCACGACGATCCCCTCGCCACAGGAACTTCAAGCTGTTTCTATCTTCTGGCCGGATGCGAACTTGCAGGAACATTTCCTTTATGTCGGCTGCCACTGCAAACGGGCCTTGCCGGAACCTCAGTAATACCCCGAAGAGCGATTGCAGTAGGTCTGGTCCCGGTAGTAAAGCGTCGTTGAGGCTTCTCCCTTTAGACTTGGCTGCAGCGTCGAAGACGATCCTTATTTTCTTCTTCAATGGATGTACCACGGAGAAATGAGGGAGGTACCATGTCTTCTTTGAATCTTCTTGTCCACCAGGTGCTTCTTCTGCATACTTGCTGTCGATTAGATGCTGGATCTGCTTATTGTATTCTGCCTTCAGCTGAGGGTCTTTGTCTATCTTCTTTTCAATGTTGAACAATCGGTTCTTGGCAGACGTGTAGCTTTCAGGCATCTGTTCATCTTCATTTTTCCATAGAAGTCCAGCTTCAAATCGACCATCTTCTAGTCTTCTGCAGGTCTTCTCTAGGATGGTGAGTGCTCTTCCTTCTGAATCCGTAGTGGGTCTTCTTGGTAGTACTCCAAGTGCTTCGATTGCGAAGTGATCCTTGATGGCTTGATGCATCTCTTCTTCTGGCGTGCTGACATGTAGACACGTGTTTAAGAAGTGCACCACTTTCGCGCCTCCAGTGTCTGACCCGTGGAGCACCCATCCAAGTCCTGTTCTTGAAGCGACTGGTTGTCCTGGTTTCCCTCTTCTTACTTCTTGAGTCACGATTAGCTCCCAGTTGTCTTGACCGATGAGCAGCTGTGGTGACTCCCCCTTATAATATAGAGAGTCAGCAATCTTCTTCAAGTGTTGACACTCTTCTATCCTTTTCTTTTCTAGGAACTGCGGTGCAAGCTTCAACTCGTCGATGGTCCGGACTCTTCTCAAGGTCTTCTTGGTCTTCTGATGAATCCCCTTCACCGTAAGGTCCAGCATCTGAGAGTCTTCCTTCCTTATCAGCCTGCCTCCAACAGTCTCGATGACCAGTTCCTCCTTTCTTCCTTGAGCGCCGATTTCTTCTGCTACCTTCTGGTCTAGCAGCGACACTGTTGACCCTTCATCCATGAGGGCCAATATCTTCTTTGATCCTTTTGACCCGAAGATTTCTATCGGAATTATCTTCAGGTATGCCCTTGCGTTGTTGACCGCATTCACCGATGCCATGATGCTCGCCACTTCTTGTGGTTTGTTCTTCTGTTCTTCCGAGGAACTTTTCTCTGTCTCGACGTGCAGCAGATGATGATGCCACCTCTTGCATTCCTTGCACGACGGCTTCTTGCAGCTCTCCTTCCGATGTGTCCCTTGTAAACACTTGAAGCAAACGCGGCTTTTCTTCACTATTGCCCATCGATCTTGCACAGACGCCTTCAGGAACTTCTGACACCCGACGAGGAAGTGTTCACCCTCACACATGGGGCAAGTCTTCTCTGATCTTGAAACCTTTTCTTTGAAGTCCTTTTCCTTAGTTGAATGCGTTGCTTGTCGATGAGTCCGTCTGAACCCGCTCTTCTCTTCTGTTGATGCATAGGCTCCACACTTGTCTGCTTCTCTGTTCAGGAACTTGGACACCAGTGTTAGGTCGGAGAACTCGCCTTCTTCTGTTGTTTCAATGAAGTCGTACCATCGGAACTTGAGGATCGTAGGCATCTTCTCAATAATTTGTTTCACCATCTCAGGTGAATGCAGGTACTGTGGTTTCTTCAATCCTTTTATTGCCGCTACGCTGTTGCTGATCTGGCTCGCGAAGAGGCATATGTCCCTTGGGTTTTCAGAAATCTTCGGCAACGTTTTGACCTTGTCCAACTCTGCCAGCACCAGTGCATCTGGTCTTCCATATCTTCTTCTGAGGGCTTGAATCACTTCCATCGGAGAGGCTTCGGAGTACAGCAGACTCTTGATAGCTTCTCTTGCGTTGCCCTTCAGTGCTCTTCTTAGCCGAGCCATATTCTGGACGTTGTTGAACATCGGTGCTGTATCTTCATAGACAACCTTGAAGGCCATCCACTCGCTGCTGTTGCCGTCGAAGTAGGGTAACTCGTGAATGTAGGTTGGCTGTCCTGCTGGTCCTCGCGTGGTAAGAGCTTCCTTCAATGCTGCCGTCAGTGCTTGAATTTCAATCGTAGCTCCTCTCGTTGAGGAGTTCTCTTCAGGCTTCATCTTCTGTGGCTCTTCCAAGGGGTGTGGACCTCGCATCTCTGGTTGAACTTTGTTGCCATCCTCCAGCACAGACGTCTCGATCCAGTTCTGCACCTGTGCTGTTCTGTCTTCCAGGTCTTCATCCACGGAGTCCTCTTCTTCACACTGTGCCATCTCCAATCTGACACGGGCTAGCTTAGTTTCAGCCTGTGCTTGCTTCAACTCCAGGCGTGCCAACTCTTCCTTTGCTTCTAGCTCGCGTCTTCTGGCCGAGGAACTCGTGGTCTTCGTGGACCTGGCGCGACGACTGACCCCCATCGGTTTCAGGGTCTTGGAGGAGCCTTGAACATCCTTTCCAGGTACATCTTCTTGGCTCTTCCTGGTCATCCTCTGTGCAGCATCTTCTTTGTTGCCTTCCATAGACGCCGCCGTAGTTGCAGTCGTAACCGTAGTCTCCGTCACTGTGGTGCCCTCCGTGGTCGTGGTACCCGAAGAAGTGTTCGATGTAGTTGCAGTTCCCGATGACGCCGACGCTGACGTGACCCCTTCTGATCCCGACGTTCCATCTGTCGCGTCCCTATCTGAAGGACGGGACCCGGGACGTGAGGGGGCATCCTTCTGCGACCTGGTTACCGGCATCTTGAACGCAATCTTCTGTTTCTTCTGAACTTCTTCTAGCAGGGATCCGGCTCGAAGGACCAACTGTTTCGGACGACCAGAACCAGGGTATGTCTAGTACCCGGAGGTCGACCTGGGACAATCTCCCAGACGTTCTTGGCGTACACGGCAGTATGTCCGTTCGCTGGTAATGTACGCCACAACGCACCCCTGAATGCGTAGCTTGGGTCCCGATCCACTAGGGTTTCTTCGTTGACAGGAGACTATACTTAGAGGCGATGAAATAAAACACAATTTTTCCTTTTTTCTCTCTTGGTTTCGGTTCTTCCTTTTCCTTTTAGTTGTTGCCTCTTCGGTGGCTGTCTTGCGACTGACTCGAATCGAGAAATGGCTCGCCTTTTATTTGGCCCGTTAATACCTTACAGAGAGCCGCGTACTTTGAGCTCGTTTTTCGAATAAAATTTCCCTAAACCGAAACCTTGAGAGTCCTTTTATTTTATGTTTTCAGTAAAACACCTTACACATATTTATTTATTTACATGCCTTACATACTATTATACAATATTAAAACATAATATTCAATATATAATAATTAATTAAAAAAGTCTTATATGATTCAAATAAGCAAAAAATACTCTAAACTAACCTTATTACACTAATTAGAACTTATTTTAACATAATAAATCTAATAAGAATGAGATTTCATATTTACAACAATTATTCATAATACGCTAAAATGACATTGTCCCTATATTAATACACACGTTACTCGAAGATAAGTTTTCCGTCGCCGACAGTGTGTAATTTCTAAATAAAGTGAATTGTGATTGTGGAATAAAATAGAAGTGTTATCTGTGAAGTGTGTATTATAGTGTTAAAATCATAAATCAATAAAGTTAATTACTGTGCGTTGAAGTTTAAATAAATTCCCTTGTACACTACAATGAGTGAGGCGGAAAATAATGAGGACTCGAGATCAGAAGTGGGATTCGAGAGAACTGAGAAAACGTCTGGTATTGATGAAATATGGCGCCAGTTAATCGAGAAACAAAACGAAACTATGATGTCACTGATTTCTACTCTACGCCCATCTGTATCAAATCGTCAGTTCACCCTGCCAGAGTTTAATCCTGATAAAGAAGAGTGTGACGCTCGGTTGTGGTGTGCCACGGTAGATCTTTGCTTTGAAGACGATCCACCACAGGGAGGACAACTGGTAGTAATCATCAGCAAGGCTCTGAAAGGGACCGCATCGGCATGGCTATCTCAGATATCATACCCTGGGATAACGTGGTTGGAATTCAAAGACCTATTTGCTACAAGATTTATTTCTATGCAGACATGTGCAGGTACCCTCATTAACTTACAACATGAAAAATTAAAAGATAATGAGTCGCTGGCTGCGTGTGCTAGTCGACTTATTACCATGTTAATGAGTCGATGGAAAGATTACACAATAGAGAAGGTAGCGGTAGGAACCGTCTTAGCGCATCTTTCCCAGTACGATTCACGATTACAACGACTTGCTTTTACAACTGAAATCACTTGTCGACAACAATTGCAAAAAGAATTACAAGCTTTTTCGTATCAAAAGCGAAAAGCTTCACCCGTAGAAGGATCATCAGCAACCGATGGAAAACGACCAAAAATCTTGAAATTGAAATGTTTTGGTTGTGGAAAAATAGGTCACCGGCAGTCAGAATGCAGAGCAAAAATTAAAAACTACAGACAGAAATCTTCAATAAAGTCGGATACGGTTTCTACTTCTCAACACGAAGCTACAACATCTAGCATCAGGTGTTTCAAGTGCGGGACAGTGGGACATGTTGCCAGCCGCTGTACAGCTGCTCGAGGTTTCGGTACCGCCCCTAGCAGGCAGTCTGAACGTCGGGTTGATCTATGTGAAGTAGATCCTCCAACTGGGAAGCTTCAACACCGCGGTGAGTTCTACTTATTTAGTTATGACTCTGGTGCTGAGTGTTCATTAATTAAGGAAAGTTTGGCAACAAAATTCTCTGGTAAACATATAAGAAAAGTAGTTTCATTAACTGGTATTGGACAAAATAGTGTAAAATCAACAGAACAGATTTTATGTGAGGTTATAATTAATGATTATCTACTAGAATTATTGTTACATGTGTTACCTGATATTTATTTACGAAGTAATATCATGATTGGTCGTGAAATCATGTATCAAGGCTTTTCAGTTGTTATGACAAGTACTAATGTTAAATTATTTAAAAACAAAGTTGTCAATAGCTGCACCATTCGGAACTCTATACCTAATTTAAATGAAATTGATACTGATATACCTCTAGAATATAGACCGAAGCTTTTGGAAGTGTTGAATCGTTATTCTAATTATTTCACAATGGGAATGCCTACTACGCGCGTTACAACGGGCGAATTAGAAATTAGATTAAAAGATCCAAATAAAACGGTTCAAAGGCGTCCGTTTAGGTTATCTGTAGAAGAGCGAAATATTATGCGTGACAAGGTAGATGAACTTTTGCGTGCAAATATTATAAGACCAAGTTGTTCCCCTTTTGCTAGCCCAGCTTTACTAGTAAAAAAACAAGACGGTTCAGATAGAATGTGTATTGATTACAGAGAGCTTAACGAAAATACTATTCCGGATAGATACCCACTACCTCTGATAACTGATCTAATATCACGATTACATGGAGCCAAATATTTCTCTAAACTAGATTGCGCGAGTGGATTTCATTTGATTCCTTGTAATAAAGATTCCATTGAACGTACGGCCTTCATAACACCTGATGGTCAGTACGAATACCTTACTATGCCCTTTGGTTTGCGAAACGCTATCACTGTATTTCAGAGAGCTATCGTAAATGCGCTAGGAACTCTAGTTCGGGAATATGTTATCGTTTACGTTGATGACGTCATGATTCTGGCCGAATCTTTAGAACAAGGTTTAGAAAGACTTAACACAGTGCTAGATGTACTCACAAAATGTGGTTTTTCCTTAAATTCTAAGAAATGTTCTTTTCTAAAATCTAAAATAGAGTTTTTAGGGTATGAAGTAGAAAACGGCAATGTAAGACCAAATAAGCGAAAGATAGAGGCTCTTACAGCACTGCCACCTCCTGAATCCGTAACTCAGCTTAGACAGTTCATAGGCCTAGCTTCTTATTTTAGACAATTTGTTCCACAGTTTGCCTCTTTAATGGCTCCACTTTACAAACTAACATCCCTTAAAGGAAATTTTAATTGGGAAGCAAAACATGAGGAAATTAGACAAAAAGTAATTCTAATACTGACAAATGACCCAATATTAAAAATTTTTAACCCTGACCTACCTACTGAATTACACACTGATGCAAGCTTGGAAGGTTACGGTGCTATATTATTTCAGATTCATGATAATAAACGACATGTTATAGCTTATTTTAGCAAACGAACATCCCCTGCCGAGTCTCGCTATCATTCGTATGAATTAGAGACATTGGCAGTCGTAAATGCTATCAAACATTTTAGACAATACTTGCATGGCCGTAAATTTTTGGTTGTAACAGACTGCAATTCCCTAAAGGCTTCCCAATCTAAAAAGGATTTGACACCTAGAGTATA